ATTTGGAAATGGGAGTGACAGCAAAAAAACTGTCCTGTTAAAAATGAAAAACTTTGATGGTCTGAGGCAAAATTGACTGGCGAAAGGGTTTTGCTGACAAAGACGAAGGAGACTGGAGTGCCCGTTTCTGGCTTACTTCCCAACATAAGTTAACTATACCTCGGACTCTAGCCCGGGCTCCGTTACTCGCAGAGAACGGGTAGTTAAAGTTCGAAGGATTGAGTTCGGGAATAGTTAAAGTTACGCCAGTGTGTTTTAAAATTTCTGTCGGTTCATGTAGATGCATTTCTACGGACCACAGCACCCACTATCTTGACGTAGCTGTCCTTACACTGTGTTCTCTTGGTACTTTTAGTTGCTCCTTTCTTGGCCTGACCAGCGAATATTTCAGAACTGAGGCCAGTCGGTTCAACCAAAAGCCTTCTCTCCTCATGTGAGTTTGGTATTCATCTGCTTTGCGATATGGTGCGGCAAAGCTTGGTATCTTAGCAAAGGAACCTTCGTCGAATCCCCTCCATCATCTGCTCGAAGACTTCGGACATCAGCAAATAGGTAACCAATGTGGGATGTGTGCTTTAAGTGATTGTATGGGACTAGAGTTTCGAACGAGGTCTACCCAAAACTCGAACCCATAAATTTTCAAAACTATCTGATGAAAGTAAAGAAGCACAGTAACACTTGAGGGCAAATTTGACCGGCCAGCCATCCCGATCATTACCAACTAGTACCTTCCACAACCTCATGCTAAATTTAGATTCTCACCTCGTCACGTCATGATTTTTTGCTTATATTTTCTTTATAAACAAGCCGAAAGTGGCAAAAAACGCAGCCCTTAAGAAGGTCACAATGTTTTTGACCTCTTTTTTTAACCATGCACAGTCACTACACTTTTATAAAGCTAAAAGTTCAGTAAGAAGACGGTCTAGGTCGACCAGATGGGATAGGCACATAAACGCAGGAGGGGAGTTAACCAGGATTCTGGGTGGGCATGGCAGGGAGGAGGGAACGAACCTTGAAACCCCTTCAGGCGTGACGGATGCTAAAGGTACAGAACACTAAAGAGCCATGCTGGGGGATCTGAGACGGTAAGGGAACGAGGGAGGAAATAGGGCTATTTCCCTCACCGACTATTACTATGGTAATCCGAGGTGGACCGTGTAATCCAAGTGTTTGCATAGTTTTGGTCTACTCTTCCGTATATTCCGCGGTTTTCGAATGACATTGAAGACACCCAGTCGTCGCTCGAAGTAGGACCTTAAAAGCAGCCGTTAAATCCAGCGCATAGACAGTATCCACTAGGCGTTTCGCAATTGAATTGCCGGTGCCTCATCTGCCGCTCTAAGCAGTCATCTAGGCAAATGTTCAGCTGGCCGAGTTGATAGTCGCCTTTATGCGTGCCCGGCGTATTCTCATGCGCAACTACGGACACAGTTCGTCATGGTACGCAGAAGCAGGCCATCTTTAATTGGTCTAACGGGAGTAGTCGTAGTAGGGCTTATGAACAACCACATAGAGGCGCCACACAGCCTTTCGATCGTACGCCGGCTTCGACACCTGATCACTTGTGATACATTATCACTCTTGAAAGAAAACACATGCTCAACGCTTTTTTTGACTGGGGCATTTTGTTATACAGTGCGTGAACGATCTCATGAAATGTTGGCTAAAATTCTGGAATGCGTTTCCGATTAGGAAGGATTACTTAAGTGGGGTTGTTATACTGATTATTGTGCAACATAACCCTATAACATTTCGGACTGGCCAGGATGCGGGCTTTTGAATGCATTTCTTTTTGACGACCTGTAGAAACTACACTCGGTAAAAGATGACGTCTTATGTAGTATGCATTTTTCCTATTGATTTTCAATGGCCTTATAAATTCAAATATATTTTATAAAAAACATGCACAAACATATGCCTTCATTTGCTCATTTGGTAGGAAATCACATTGTCTTCATAGTTTATGCCCCAAAACGTCTGTATTTAGGTTTTAAGAAAGTTTCCCAATTCCCGAATGATTTTCAGCCTTATCTGCCATTGCATCAGCGTTTAGCAATTTCAGTATACAAGATGCATGCTTTCCGCGTAAGGAAAATCATATATTCCTCTATGCCTTTAAAAAGATATCACATAGAGTTCATTAAATTTTACAATGGATCCGGACTGTGTTGTACATTTCATGAGGAACATTAGTAAACGGACATGTGCGGTCTTGCATGCATGGACATCGCACGATCTTAAAAATCTCATAATTAGATACTTTTTTAAAACCTCAATACACACTTTTTTCGGACATAAAATATGAAGGCAATGTGATTTCCCACCAAATGAACAAAAGAAAGCATATTTTATGCATGTTTTCTGTAAAATATATTTGAATTTTTAAGACCATCGAAAATCAATTGGAAAAATGCATGCTACATAAGTAGTCATTTTTTTACCAAGTGTGGTTTCTACAGGAGGTCAAATAGAACTGCATTCAAAAGCCGGCATCCTGGCCAGTCCGAAATGTTATAGGGTTATGCTTCATGATAATCAGTATAACAACTCCACTTAAATAATCCTTCTTCATCGGAGACGCCTTCCAGAATTTTGGCCAACATTTCATGAGATGGTTCACGCCCTGTATTTTCTTGTCCAGTATGGCAATATCTGTTGGTAAGTTTCTGCGGATACCTGCTTCCAAGACAAATATCCTCTGGGAAACAAAGCTTATCATCTATGGTATCTGGGGAACAGACTCTAGTAGCTGTATTGAAGGGACACTCAACCAAGTTCCGTTCTCTGCCTTGGAAAGAAACTCAAAAAATGCATCTACTGTCCAGTCCAGGTGTTCTCTTAACAGAGCGATCTTTAAGTGGAACCGTCTGCTCACCTCTGTAGAAGAAGACCAGAGAAAGGTACCGTGTCATTTGCCTCATGGTCAATCACAAAATTGATTTTTCCGTGTGCCGAGTTCATGGATTTTGGCAGTATTTTCCCGTCTCCCCGGCTACCGACTGTTACAAAAATATCGTCCGCATATACTTCATACTGCGTAGGGCGCTGTGACTTTTGGGGCAATTTTCGCTCGAAGCTTGACATGAAGATGTCTGCTAAGACTGGGCCCAAACTACTGTTCGTAGTTACATCGCCGAGCTGTTTATTAAACTGCGCATTAGTGCATAACCGCAGTAGATCTCGTATGTGTCCTGTCGCTAAGCTCACAACTTATATCAATGTTTTCACCCGGCGCAAGTTAGAAAACAGGTTCTGCGCATCGAATTATACCATCCACTTATTTAGTAAATTGAACTGGAGGTCATTAAATTTTATAGGTTCATTAAATGCTGCATATTTCGTTACCTTTGACTTGTGCTACTTCATTCCAAGAAAGCAACTTTTCAATATTTGTCAAATCGTTTTCCTGGAACATGTTCAAGACTTTTTTTCGCTGCTGTTTCTTGGCATTAGCATCCTTCGCCCAAATGTAAAGCTTACGGATTGAACATATAATTATGAATATGAATATGAATAAAAAGATAGTTTACGACATGAACTGAAATTTGGTAGGATCGTCGGTCTGCGATAAGGCCGAAGGTCTCTGACGGCACGCTCACGATCCTACTGCGTGTGGGGTCCAGCTATGAGCCGGATTAGTGAGGAAATACCTAACTTGTTGGGCTTCGTGTGGTAGAAGGATGCGTCATGATTTTGAATACTGACCCATTGGCGGGACAGATCTGACCCCCAAAGATACAACAAAAGGCAAGCAGATTGGTGAACGGGGCGTCTGAAATCACAAGAACCAGGAGAATATAATGCGCACGCGCCTAGTAAATGCATTCATCTGCGAGTTTCCCGTATGTTGGAGCACTTATGATTTTCACGTTAGTTCGAAACCCTCACAGCTCAGCGGTCGTCATAGCCAGACGTGGAAACTTGGGTAAGCACACCTCACTTCGCTTGGTCATCTGGAGTTCCGCAAAGTCGGTTTACTTGGCATGTTTAAGCCCATTGGGCTTACAGGTTGGCGTCTCAAATTCGGCGTAACCTGTTTATAATCTGATTTCGGTTTTGGCTGACAGTCAAGTCTCTGAAAGAAGCCCGCAGCAGCTGCATCTGTGGCTCGGCCATGGCTCAGTTGTACTCTATTCGACGGATGACTTCCAGATGATCAATAGTACTCGGTCTACAAGGAGACCTAAGGGCCAAGCGAATTTCGTCTCTGATATCATTTGGCTGAATTAGTGTCTATAGTAGTTACAACAATGGAAAAAAATAATGACAGGTAGTAAACACGCTCACCCCAATGAGGATCAGCAAGGTGGTTACAAGCCCGACGATCATGGCCATTCCTACCCCACTGGTGGAATTCCATTCTGATGGGCGAAGTTCCTCGAATCCCGAGAGCACCGAAGTCACCAGGAGGAAGGTTATGAAGGCCTCGCAGCCAAATGCCTCCAGGTCTGAGACCCCGGGGCGGGTGCGGTAACCCCAGCCAACGGGTCGTCTTTTACGAAGGGCGAAATTTGGAAGGCGAAGAGGAAACCCAACACTCCACCCAACAGCTGGCCTAACCAGTACAGCAGCAGGTATTGCAGGGGAATACGACGCAAAGCGACGTTGGCCAAAGTGACCATAGGGTTGATGTTGGCACCGCTCACTGGACCGACGACCCAGGTGGCTGTGTAGACAGCGGCGCCAACGGAGAAGGCCGCAGAACTGTTACTGGTGGCCGGACCATATTGTGACAGGATACAGGCACTAGTGACTGCACACATAGCGAAAGCCTCGCCGACGAAGATGCGTGCCACCTTTTGAAGTTCGTCGACGGAGCAGCGACAACGCATAGTCTGTCGGGGCGGGACGACAAGAAAAACACAAGGCCACAGTGATGAGCATCAATGTAATTAGCAGTCCTGAAAAAAAAGTCTGACAGCCCCGTCCATTCTTTACAGCGAGGGAAGAAGAGCTTAAATGGAGGGGGGATATAAGGAATGGGGAAACTATTGAGGAAATGAATAATACGACGGCTCGACGGTAAAAAGCATGAAGCCCGAGGTTAATGATAGTTGATGGTTAGAAAAATGTAATGCACCCTCCGGCAGTCTCATCTATAAAAGCGCACGGAGACTTCCACTAGATCGGTTGTACAAGTGATAGCCTTCAGATAATACAATCAAGTGTGCAGGGTTTGCCGTGTAGACGGGCAACGGTACTCCTCCTCCTCCTCCTTCACTGCCTCCTCTTTCTTGTCTTACTCATCGTCATTAGCACACCCAACTTCTTACTCGTGCACTTTAGGATGCGCCAAAAAGCAGGAGGTGGCCGAAGGAGAAAAGGCCTAACCTCCTTTCTCGCTTTCCTTCAGTGGGGCCTTTGTGGTAACACAAGAAAAAAACATACAGTTGTTCTGAACGGCACCACTTCTTTTCGCTAATGTCGTTCCTCTCGTAAATTTTCGTTTGGAAACATGAAAACTCATCAGCCTCATTCAGAAGTTCTCCATCACAGCTGTTATTAATGCGCCCTGGAAGGTTTCACAAAAATGCACATTAGAATAATCACGCTCCGACTTCCACGGTTTCACTCCATCGCAAGCATATCTAAATACATTTCTCCGATTTTTCGCTGGTTCGCGGATTTCTGACGACAGTGGGCCTTTTTATTTCTGGTACGAGCTTCCTCGGTTATCTGTGCATGGTATGTAAACAGCGTGTTTACGTACATAATTTCAACCAATCTCACCTAATACCTAAGAGAATGCAAAGGGTCTTTTCTGTATAACTCTTTGATATATACTTGTAAGAATGCGGAAGGGTTTATGAGGGCTTGAGACCTAGAAAAGAAGCCGAAAACATACGGTTTTTACTTTGTGGATTTTCAGTTTTTGCGGGAGTTCTGAAACGCAACCCCCCCCCCCGGTCGAGCAGAGATTACTGTATTTATTTTACTAACTTACTCATCTTGATCGGTGAACGCCTTTAATCCCGTTCTGTTTTTGCATTGTTCATAGCACTTTTGAGAAAACCACCGATATAGAATTTTCACTAGATCCTTCTAGATGCGAGAGTTTAGAAGGATTGGATAATACTGTCGCATAAGAAAGACTGGCCGCCTTCTATGCAGTGAGTAGTAGTTTGGTCTCCAACAATGGGCTGTTCTCCATCGGCGCTTCGCCACAACGGCGGTCAGACTGGCTCACGACAGGCATTTCTCGGGCAGCGTCGAGTCCGCGCGACTCCATCAACACTAGTGTGCATACGCTTGGTGGCATGTCCTAGACGCAGGACCCCGAGCCGCGTCCGTAACTGTGCCCAGTCCAGTCACTCGTTGGCTGCCAGGCTCGAACAGACGACCGATGCATGGCAGCGAGAAGAGGGTGTTCGATCGACAATGGGAAATCCATCCTCACGGCAAATTAGCGTATTCCTCGCTAATAATACATTTGACGCGCCTGAATCCATTATTGCTGGCTAACAGTCGTGGCTTGGAAGGCAACCAACTGACGGGAGAATTCGATGCTTCTCAGCACCAAAATTCGGGCTGAAATGGCTCCTTCTTAATGTTGCCTTCATGTGAACTCTGAGCCGTCTCCACGACAGCCTTTTACATGCTGAGGTCGTGTGTCTGTGGAGAACGCAAACGGACCGCTTAACCTTGTCAACCACCGCAGTCGAACCCACGTCTGATCCTCTTGACACTGTCCTGCTGTCGGAGCAACGTTGGTGCTGGGGTCGGTGGAGGGAGAGAGGGAAGGGGAGAGTGTGGCAGATCCAACACAGAACAGCTCACTCAGTAGGGCACGCGGCTAGCGTTGTCCCTCACGGTTGCCGAACTGTGGTAGTCGGTGTGGAAATAGCGCATAGTTTTCGCGACGAATTTAAACAGAAGTACGCTAGGGATCTAAGAGCCGTTACGGCTGGCAGATTTCAATTAGGGATTGCATTTTATCACCGGCCCTCTCTCGCTACCCTATTACAACCCAAAAGCCAAATAGCATGATCATCCACGGCTGCCCTTTTATAAGGGAAAAGGTTATTTGCGCGTCTTTGTAACTACAGTCCCGGTTCATAGTTGTGTTCGTGGTTCGTTCTGTTCAGTATCAGTATCAGTTTATTAAGGGAAATATATGCAAGCGCCTTTAAACTCTCTATTGGTAACAAGTCGTCGGAGAAAAACATTGATAAATGGGAAGGTTAAAATGGGATTTTGTAGATAGTCTCGGACAGCTGACAGCTAGTTTTTCGATTAAATATGGGTGGGGGGGGGGGGCTGGAATAAGGATCGATCTAGCACTGAGTAGCCTACATCCGGCCTTAAACCCTGATATGCATTGCCATATCTTGCAAAACCGCGGTGAGTCCCCTCTCCCTTGCAATTCATATTAAAAGCTGCACTATTATTACGGGGTATCTGGCTGCCTTTTTAACTAACTATAAGTAGGTAAGAACCCCTACTTCTATTGTTCTCAAATATCTGCCTTCAGAATTCTCGGAAGAATTTTCGATGGGCACTGGCAGCTGAAACTCTGGTTTACTGTTCATGCTTCGTTTTACAAGTTGGATTTCGCCTTCCGATCACTTCCATGCTATTTTAAAGGAAAATACTTTTGGCCTTGACAACAAACCAATCGACTGTTCTATTCGTCAAGATAACTACTCACTTCCGACCAAACGAAAAACAAGTTTTACTTTCATCCATATTTGCGAATGTTTATTAAATGCACGCACAGAGGAAGGTTATAAGGTAGAACTCTCGGATCTAGAGGAAAGAGAGCTCAGAGCTGAGATATAAATTGTGAAGAATTCTATGCTGTCGAAACTCTTATCTTTGCCTTTTTAAATCCCACATCAAATGCATTTTGGATTTATAACTCTGGAAGAAACCTCTGAAAGGCCTATAGATAGGTGTAGATGGTAGGAAGTAGTGCTAAGAATGGAGTCTGGGTCATAATGGTATCTAAGGTGTTGTGCAAATTTCCAGAAATATTTGTCTTCAGTGCAAAGGGGTTCAGTGCGCATAAAAATTGAGTTCACTCTATCGAACTATCGTAGCGAGTTTTATGACATACCTGTCCACCAGGTAGCAACGGTTAAAACTGTTACTATTCCATGTTAGTAAAAGTAAAACAATAGTGAGCCTTTGTTGACGAAGATCTGTGGATATCAGAAAGGACCTGATTGGGCTGGTGCATAGGGCGACAGAGAAAGCCATCGAAAAGTCAACACGTTGGTGGACAGGGGAAAGAGAGTCCTAATAAAGAGTAGACAAGCCTAGAAGTCCTCATTACTAGGGCAACAAAAAACTGAATGTATGGACCGTGGAATTAATGGATCGCGCGCATACATTGCTAACCGTGCGTAACTGTCTTCTCTAGTCCTAGATTCGAGTGCCCAGGCAAAGTTAACATACATTATTCCATTTTTTGTCAAGCTTATTCGGTGACTACCACTCTTAGGTGTTTATGAACACCCCCGGCCTGTAGTTGTCAAAGCAGGAACCCACGGCTCGATTGACAGAGTCTATAGTTGCAATTACAGCTGGTTTTTAGTAAAAAAAATGGATCCGAAATGGGCATTCCAGTCTGTCGGTATTGCTCTAAGGCAAAATGGAACTCCCTCCTTCCATTCCGAATTTCCCATAGGTCGGCTGATACTTCTGTCTGAAAATGCAACTTTCTCATTTTATTTGGCTTCTAACTCATTTGCTTCGATCTACAGGCTGAGATCAACAACGACGACTTCTGCATGCCTTACTAAAAATCTAAATTAGTTGGCAGTCTGCGAAAATGGCCTCCCTGATCCTAATTAAGTAAACTCAGGAGTCTGACAGCCTAAATATTCTGCATTCCCCCTGTGCAAGCATTTTTAGTTTTCCGCTGTTATGTCTGTAAAATGTTTGTCAAAAGTCGAATCCTGCTAAAAGTACTTGGCCAATTTCTGCAAATATACACAAAGTACACAAAATCCTTGATAACACTTCAATTTTAACTTACGAGGGAATGGGCTTTAAGGAGATATTTTTGAAGCTTGTGTTCACTTGAAGACAATAGTCATTTATATTATCCGGGCAACCAATAGCATTCCCTTTTCAGCCTGCAAATGCTGGCATGGACGCGCAGTAAATTTGCAGGTTAATTTGTTGTTATTGCTAATAATAATGAAGTGGAGATAACGGCACAATTATCCAAATAAGTGGTCAGAATAAATAAATTTACTGAAAGCATCTGGTTAAGTCACCTTTAAAGAGCTTACCACAGCGAAGCTCTGTAGCAGGCCCTTCGCCGGAAAGATTAACCCAACGATGAAATCAACTTCATTAGCTAATGCGCAAATTTCACTTTAAGCACTTCGGCAGCTTTCTAAATTTTTCAAAACTTAGTAAACCTTTGTACGTCTTTGTTGGAAATTCTGTCAGTGAAGGCGAATTCTTGGGGCGGGGGGGGGCATGTGTCTACTTGTGCAAGAACATCCACACCCGATTCATAAGTTGTCTTCAGTCTGCTGAAAATTAAGTTCTCAATTACATTTCATTCTTCGAGGGGTATTGAGTGAATAAATAGATGATTTAGACTTCTTTAGCATTGAAAATAAATGAAAAAAACATTGGCTTATCACAAGATTTGACCAAAGTCCATCGCATAGCTTAAAGGAACCCAAACTCCAGTGCTGCTTCGCGTGTCGCTCTCTGTTTGCGGGTTCGTTTGACTACCAACAGTTTTCACCCATGAGCTCGCAGCACCTCGCCTTCTCTTGGTCAATCCCCTGACGCTATTTGCGAACTCTTGAGCGACAGTCTTGAAGGGACACCCAAATCATTCGCCTGCCGTGCCGAAGTACTGCGTATC